GGGGGAGCCGGGGGGGGAACCGCCCCCCCCACCCCGGGACGGGACCCGGCGGTACCGGAGGCGCTGCCGGGAACCGGTGATGGGGGCGGGGCCGGTACCGACGTGCAGCGGGATGAATTAACGGCGTCCCCGGGCCGGGCGGAGCCCCGGGAGGGAGGAATTAGCGGCGTCATTAGGGCCGCGTTCAGGGATAAATGATCCGGGAGGAGGCACCGCGAGCGGCCCCGCCGGTCCCTGCTTCGGTGAATCGTTACTTGCTCGGGAGGGGTTTTTTTTTTTGGGAATGTCGCCTTTCCCGGGAGCGGGAGGTTCGGGGAGGGGGAGGTTCGGCTGAGCCTGGGGCGTCCTGACAGCCCCGCTCCTGCCATCCCAGCCGGGAGGGGCTCGGGACACCGGGAACCCCCCCTGCATGGGCAGGGACACCTCCCAGCAGCCCAGGCTGCTCCAAGCCCCATCCAACCTGCCCTTCAACACTGCCAGGGATGGGGCAGCCACAGCTTCCCTGGGCAACCTGGGCCAGGCTCTCACCACCCTCACACCCAAGAATTCCCTCCTCAATCTCCCAGTTTTCATCCATTCTCCTCCATCATACCTGCCAATCCTACAGCAATTCCAAGGAAACCTCTCAGGACCCAGCCTGGAATCCAGCAGAGTTCAGATGGTGCCAGGTTGGAGGGCACAGGAATCCAGCATTAAGACCATTGGACACAACCAACCACAAGTGCTGGAAGGACAAAACATGCACCTGGGAGGAGTGAATCATTAAAGAGCTGCTTTAACACCCAATGTTTTTCCATCCCTGCTCCTCAGAGCAGCCCTGAGGCTGAGGAAGGTGCTGCCCAGGGAAGATGCATTTTCCTGGCAGGTCATGAAATCCAGTTTTGAAAAGAAACAACTGGATGGGATCCAGGCAGCACAGGTGCCACAAGACACTCACCTGGGCCTCCTTGCTCAGAGGGAAGGTTTTCTCCAAGCATTTCAGTCTTAAAATAATCTCACTGGGTCTTCCCTGGTTTGGGTCCCTGTAAGAGAAAAGTTCATGAGTTGAGAACATCAACCCAGGGGAGAAGATGCCAGTGGAGTTCAGCACCTTGTCCTTGGCTCTGAGCTCTGGCACACCTGTTTTCTCCCAAAAACCTGTGTTTTTTCACCTGAACATGAATCATTTTAACCAGAAACCACAAGTCTAGAGCAGCAAATGGAGCTCTCCTGCAGTGAGCTGGGTTCTCACTGGTGTCCCTCCCATGAGCCTGGTCCTGGTGGCCAAGACTCGTGTGTCCCTCTCAAAGCACAGAGTGTTTTCACTCCTACAGGTGCTCTCTGGGGGTTAAGGTGCCTTGGACACAACATCAACCTGGGAAACTCAGCAGTGGAGCAGCTAATCCTCCCTGCAGGGTGACACCCTGACCCTGCTGCAGCTCCTGGCCCAACAAGTTGGAGAAGGATTTGGGAAGTCAAGTCCAGGGGGTTTGCTGGGGTTTTTTTGGTTGTTTTTCCCAAAGGCATCACAAGTTGGGTTTTCTTCCTGCTCTGCCCCATTTCATTTTACTATAATTTAAAATAGGGATTATATTCTTAACAGGAGGATGTCCAGGAAAGGAGCCTGGCATTTTGGGAAGCAAATCATGTCTTTCCAGCTGCTGCAGCTCCACTTGTGCTAGATGAAATTTTGGATTAAATCTGGAGAGGAAACCAGATTCCCAACCCTTCCTTCTCAGCTCATCCCACATCTGCCTGACAAGCTTGTGCCTTTTTCCCCTGACAGATTAAATACTGAGAGTCTTGCAAATACCAAAGCAATGACTATGTACAGAAATGTGTATTTTTATCATCACACTTTTCTTTCCATGCTCAGCCTGTCCTAGGGATGAAGGACTCCACTAGTGCACAGGGTGGGGCCTTAAGACACAGAAAAACTGCCTGAGAGGGAAGAAAAGAACATGTCAAGGTTGGTTTGAAGGTGTTTAACTTGTTCCAAGTCTTCCCCAGGTGTCCCTGGTGAGTGCTGGGACACTGCATCCTCAGCACTCCCAGGGAATATGCCCCATCCTTGTGGGAAATGCATCACCTGAGCCCCACCTCCTTCCTCACCCCCAGGAACTCTGGCTCTTCCTGGCCTGACCCTCTTCTGACCATCACTTGGGCTCCAATGGGAAAAATAAATCAATTAATAACTCCTATTAAGTGGACAAATCCCAAACTTACTTTCATAAAGAATTAAAATTGACTTTCATGAAGAATTAAAATCTACTTTCTTTGCATGCAGAAGAGACCAGGCCTAGTCAGTCTGCTGGGACTATTCAGTTTGCTCACTGACCACAGGCTTGTTATTTTTGTCCCTCTCCTTCAACTGCTTGCATGTCATTTGCATTGTTTAAAGTCAAAACAAGATCACCTCAACTTGCAGCTACAGGACTTCTCATTTCATACATCACCAGTCATGCTGGAATCACAACTTTGCACGTTATTTTGTCCATGTGCAAGAAGCAGAAGGGAAACCAGCTTAGTCTTCTGAAAGGGCATTGGCTCTGCAGTGCTGACAGCAGGGAAAAGCAGCAGTCAGGTCCACAGATATGACTCAGGACAATCAGAATCCTGTTCCATGCTCATTTCTGACCCAGCAGCCACACTAGCCCTGGGGATACCAACCTGTGAAACACTGACCAGGAGCACAGCACCTCCAGTAGCCACAGACTTCATAGGATCATAGACTGGGTTGGGTTGGAAGGGACCTTAAAGACCATCCAGATCCAGCCCCCTGCATGGGCAGGGACACCTCCCACCAGCCCAGGCTGCTCCAAGACCCATCCAACCTGCCCTTCAACACTGCCAGGGATGGGGCAGCCACAGCTTCCCTGGGCAACCTGGGCCAGGCTCTCACCACCCTCACAGCAAAGAATTTCTTCCTCAGATTTCATCTCCATGTCCCCTCTGAGCATGAAACCCTTCCCCCTCATCCCATCTCTCCCTTCTCCATGTCCCCTCTTTGAGCATGAAGCCCTTCCCCCTGTCCTGTCCCTCCCTGCCCTTGTCCCAAGTCCCTCCCCAGCTTTCCTGGAGCCCCCTCAGGCACTGGAAGCTGCTCTAAGGTCTCTTCTCCAGGCTGAACACCCCAAACTTGCCTGTTTCTGGTGTGTGTCCCTGCTCTCCCTCAGCAGCACATGCACAACTCTTCCCTCAAACTTCCCAGATGTTTCACAGAAACCTGTTTTTCACTTCCCCAAGCCTTTTCCCTCCCAAATTCTGCCCTGCTAGTTCCTCAGTGCTTGGCTACAGCCCTTGTTCACATCACACAAGATCTACTTACGCTCAGAGCAGCTCCTGCAGCTCCCTAAGCCCTACCCTGAGAGCAGGAACAAGCTTTTCCTTGGGATTGGCTCAGGACACACCATCCTGGCCCTGGCTGTTCCCTCAGAGGGTTGAGGTTCCTCCCAAAGCAGCAACACCACTTTTCAGGCTTCAAACAGAACACAAGATCAGGACATCAACTTCACATTGACATTTTTATTAACGCCAACTCTTTTAATTATTATTAATTTTTTTTTTCCTTCTTTTTTTCCTTTTTTTTTTTTTTTAAACAATAGCACAAAAATGTTTCAGGGAAGCAGTCTGACAGTTAGTCTGATGACCTTCTGAAATACAGTTAAAGCCACACCAAATATGAATTCCTGTTAAAGAAAAAAAAAAAAAGAATAATAATAATAATAATAAAAATATAGATGGAACTCCAACCTTTGTATTAGAGGGTGTTGTGGCTGGTTAGTAGACCACGCTGCTTTGTGAAGGAAATGATGGCACACAGCTTAGACTTCATCATCACCACGCCAGTCATCACTAATTTAAGGCTTCTGAATCAAATTACCATCAACATCACAGAAAGGAACAAAAAGCTACGGGCAGGAGGAGGCTGGACAAGCTGGGTCTTTGCAGACACATCAGGGTGTCTCTGGCAGGACAGCCCTGCCCCAGGAGCAGCCAGGAGAACCAGCCACACAGCAGGTGCCTCCTGGTTTGCATGCACGTTGAGGGTGTCATTTAGTAAAGGGCAGGGGGGGGAATAAAATAAAAAGAATAATCATTGCATGAATCTCTCTCATTTCATGTGGCTGTGGAAGATGTTTCCTTACGATTCCGTTATCTCCAAGAAGGACATCAGCAGTGAAACCCAAGGAGGAAAACTGAGGAGCAACAGAACATGGGGGCTATTTTTTTTTCCTTTTTTTCTTTTTTTTTTTTTTGCTGAGAGGTAACACAAGAGGGAGGGAACCTACTATCCTTGGATGATGGGGGGGGTTTGCAGGAACATCTCCCCAAAACCTTGCACTGAGAAGGATGCACAGACTCTATGTGACACCAGCGACCTGCCTTTCCCAGGGACCTGTTCCACACCAGGCACAGGCACCAGCCCATTCCTGCCCCAGACTCTCCACCAAATTCCACTGCCCTAGAAACCACCCGTTTCCTTCTTTTTCTTTCCCCTCTCTTTGGGAGGGCTGGGGGAGGGTGTAAAAACCAGAACATCTGTCAATAAGTGTGTCAGGGAGGAGGGGAGGGGGTGGGGGTGTTAAATATTGTAACCACTGACAAGGCTTGAGGAAGTTTCACAGTTTTGTTATGCTCTATTTTATTACTATCATATTTACACATTTATTTTTATTTTTTTTTTCTCTCTCTTTTCATTTATTTTTGCCTTTCTTTCCTTGTTTGCTGAATTGCTGATAATTTTAAGAAGAATTTCAATCTGGAGTGTGAGCAGGAACCAGGTAACTACATTCATTGTCCAATCCCCATTGGTTTGAGAAAAAGACTCCAAATTCTTGGCATGTGAATCAGCTGTTGGGCAGCTCCTCCCTCTCCCTCTCTTTTTTCTTTCTCTCTCCCTCTCTCTTTCCCTCTCTTTCTCTCTCTCTCTCGCCCCATGAGGCCAGCAGGACTGCAGCAGTGCCAGGGACAGGGTCACACGGTGGCCGGGGGGGGGACCTGGCGCTGCAGGAGGAAGAGGTGGATGTTGTCGGCGTCGCGCTTCAGCCAGGCCGAGTTGAGCAGGATGTTCTCGCAGCACTGCTGGACCGTGCGCTCGGCCGAGGGCGCCGGGTGGCTCTCGAAGAAGGCCTGGGAGGGGGGGAAAAGGGCAGAAAGCACCCGTCAGAAGGAGGAGGAGCAGGCAGAGGTAGGTGGTGGTGGAGGCAACCAAGTGGCTGCGTCAGCGTCGGGTCCCGGGTTGGGTTGGAAGGGACCTTGAAGATCATCAGGTTCCAACCCCCTGCATGGGCAGGGACACCTCCCACCAGCCCAGGCTGCTCCAAGCCCCATCCAACCTGCCCTTCAACACTGCCAGGGATAGGAATTCCACAACTTCCCTTTGGAACCTGTTCCAGGGTCTCACCACCCTCTCAGCAAAGAGTTTCCTCCTCATGTCCAACCTCAATCTCCCCTCTTCCAGTTTCAATCCATCACCCCTCATCCTCTCACTCCCTGCCCTTGCCCAAAGCCCCTCCTCACCTCTCCTGTAGGCACCAAATTATACAGAAATGCTTCTGTGAACTGTGCTCCTTGCCTGACAGTTCGTGCTCCCACCAATGTCACTGACTCTGAAAAACCTGCAGAGTTTATGTCCCCTCCCTGGCAGTGTTGAAGGGCAGGTTGGATGGGGCTTGGAGCAGCCTGGGCTGGTGGGAGGTGTCCCTGCCCATGCAGGGGGGTGGGACTGGATGATCTTTAAGATCCAACCCAAACCAATCTGATTCTATGAAAACCTGTAATCCCAAGCACAGAATCACCTTGGTTGAAAAAGACCTTCAAGATCATCAAGTCCAACTGTTAACCTGGCACTGACAAGTCCTTAACTAAACCATAACCCTAAGTACTCTGTATACAACTCCTAAATCCCTCCACCACTGCCCTGGGCAGCCTGAGAACCCTTTTGGTGAAGAAATCCTTCCTAACATCCAAACTCAACCTCCCCTGGCACAAAGTAGGGCCATTCCCTCTTGTCCCACCACTCATAACTTCACTGCCCAGCCCCATCCCCACCTCTTCCCCCAGCACAGAGTGGGAACAACAAACCCCTCCACCCCCTAGGGGAAAGCCCTATGGGCTAGGGGAAAGCTAGGGGAAAGCCAGGACAGCATTCCTACAAACTATTCCCAGCTCTGCCTCCTGTCCTGTCTTGTCCTTGCTGCCAGGGACAGCAGGTGGCACTTGAGGAGATGAATTCAGCCCCTCATGGGGAGGCAACAAATGAGCAGAAGATCAAGTGTGTATTTCTGGGTCCTTGGAAGGAGACCCAGCAGAAGCCCCAGGCCATTTTGCAGCAGCATTTCTCCAGCTATCAGGTTCCTTAGCATTCCAGCTCTTCCCAAGCTACAGAACGACCTCAGAGCACCAGCAGCTCTCCAGGGCTTGCCTGGAGGGTCTCACATTTCTCCCTCCAGAATCAACACTATTGATTTCCCTGCAAGTAGCTGAAGAAACTTGCCCCAGAGGCTGCTGTGACCTGGCACTTGGCAAGGGGCTGGGGGCAGAATCAAGCTGGCACAGTTGGGGGTCACCCCCCCAGCCTCAGGCTGCCCCCAGGATTTGAAGGTCACCTCCCACCCGTGGGCACTGCCAGGTGACATCAAGACTCAGACACACTCCAGCTAAACCCAGGCACGACAACTCTCTTGGGAGGTGGTGATGATTTAGTTAGGGATGAGTTGTTCTGGTAAGGGTTTTGAAAAGTGTTCTTTACACAAATTTTAAAAAGAGCTATAGTGCAAGAATTCTCTGTGAAAGCTCTATTGCTACTAGATCTTTTCTAAGAGATCCCAGCTGATAACGAGGATAGTCAGAGCTCAAGGCTCAGCTTATCTCCAAAATAATAATCCCCCTTGAGCCTCTTCCTGAGACAAGTGATAATTAAGGGCCATATTTTCAAGTTTATTCATCCAAGAAGGACTCCCTGTAAATGTGGGCAAAGAGTAAATGAAACAACCTACACACATGTTAAAAACACTGGCAAGAGCAGCACTCCCAGGTCAGAGGGGTCACTCCAGAAATGAAATCACAACCCCTTGAGCCACCAACTTCCAGACTCTCTGCAAACACTGACCAAACACTGACCTGCCTCGTGCCCAAGCCCTGGTCTCCACACACAGCACACATGACCATGGAAATCTTGGAGCAATAGTAGGGAATTCAGCCCATTTCTGCTGTGTAAATTCCCCCCAGAGTCCCCGGGTGCTACCACAGTCAGTCCCAAAGCTGCCAAGTCAGTCTGGTAGGAACCAAGTGGCCTCAGCTTGGATGGGAGTTGGAACAATTATGAATTTTGCTACAATTAGCCTTAAAGATTGTCTTTTGGGGAGTCTCAGAGCAGTGTGGGACTGGGCAACAGTTCAAAAGCAAAACCCACAGAAGCTCATGGCTCTTCCATCAGGTTCCTACAGTCTAAAGCACCCAATGTTGGTCAGAGATTAAGTTAGTCACTACTTTAATTAACATTTCTTACCTTAACTTCTGCAGCCATTTTATCATTTGCAAATCCATCCACTGTTAGCTGAAGGAAAAAAAAACAACAACAATTAACCCAGGGTGAACATTTAGAATTTCAAATGTAGCATTTAAGTTTTGGCCACGGATGAGAAGGGCACTTTGTTTTTTTTTCACACCTACCTTTATTAGTCTGGATATTAAGAATCCTCCTTGGTATCGATTATAAAGTTCCTCCCAATTATCCCTTACAAATTTCCAAGCAGCTTTCCTGCCCTGCTTGCTGCCTCCAGCTACTCCACCAATAACAGATACTGTGTCCTGGGGACGTACCTCTTCCTGAAGGGGGAAATGGAGACAGGTTTTCAAGGCTGTTTCAGCAAGTAGAGCACGTTGGCTTTGTGCCTTTCTACCCCAAAACTGTCAATAACAGCTTTTCACTTCCTCCCCACAAAACTAAAGATACAACTCAAAGATTTAATCACTGAGAATGTTCCTCCTGTGGTGACACTTTGCAAGCTCTGTCACCAACTGGACACACTTGTCATTCCCATGAGGTAAAGGAAATGGTAGATTTATTTTTTTTTTTCCCCAAGAACTTACTGAAAGTGCAAAGGTGAGAACTTTTTGAATCAGTTCTGGTTGAGAGATGGCTCCAAGAACTCGTTCAATCCTGTTCTTCTCCTCCTGCATGTCTGCTTGCTTGTGAAGCTTCAAAGGCAAAGGGAGAAGTGTCAGAGCCTGGGATGAAATGCTGCCTCCTTCCCCAGCCCCCAGCCCTGCTGGATTAGTCTTCAAGCCTAATTATGTGACAAATTGGACTTGCTCATGAGTCCTCCTGCAGCTCTCCACACCTCATGACACGGGCATCAGCAGG